CTCTCAGCCGTGCGTAAGGCATGTAATTGCATACAAACCGATCGGTATTATAGGCCATAAAAACGCATTCATACGAAGTATATAAATGAGCCAAAGGGGCCATAATATGCCTAATATACCGATGATATGCTCCGATAGCCACCATCTAAACGGCTTGTAATGATTGTCACCACTTCTGTTCCGACGACTCTTCACAACATCTATGGACGGCTTTTTGAGATCATAGGCCCAACCGATGGCCGCAAACATGTCTATGAATGCCGTTTGCGGGTTGAATGAGTCGATCGCACCCAACTCTGAGGCCGAGTAATCGCTGTTTTAAATTGCAATTATAATATAATTTTAGTTATTATTATTATTGATAATAAATTACGGTATAAACAAAGTATGCAAAAATTAACAATTATCTCTATGATTTTTATTCCAAATAATTAAAGCTAAAATAAGTAATGTATAGCTGAACAAATAAATTAAAACTTTTTAAGACATCCGGTTCATAACTTGTGTAGAAAATGACCATAAATTATTTTGATTTTACTGTACTAACAAATTATTTTGCATGGTAATGTTTGTTTTAAATAAACCTCTGTAATAAATACTTGGGAAACGTGTGGTGATAGTTGTGAAAGCCTTCGCCGACCATAAATTGTCGCACATTTGCCTCAACCGACGCTATATTCTTGTCGTACGGCTAAAATCATAAATGTAAATGTAGGATATTATGATACACCATGATAACAATATTAATTAATTTTTATCATCAATTGATTGTTTGTAACCAATTGTGATTTAAACAAAAGGTACTAGATTAATTATAATTTGCAGTCTAGTTTATAATACAATAATAAGTTTAGTTCATACCTTCATGCCATACATATGGGCGGCACTGTTAATGAGAAACGTGGTGTTCAACGATATGGCGTACCGAAGCATAACGCACACGAACCAGGCGTTGGACACGGACTCAGCCCACAGCCAATGGGGTACACATACAGGCATTAAACCCCATACGAAAATAACCAACCAGGTGAAATAGCGGCTCTGGAAACGTACCACCGGGTCGGCCAGTAGGTCGGACAGGTCAATAGTTTTGCCCTGGGCCAACGCGGCGGGATGTTTCATGTATAGCAGCCAACCCACGTGCGAAAAGAAAAAGCCCCTGCGCGAATTGTGTGGGTCGGCGTCGGTGTCCGAGTGTTTGTGGTGTAGCCGGTGATCGCGCGCCCACTTGTATATATTGCTCTGAAAGCCCAGTGTCTGTATTATCATTAGTATTATCCGTAGCGGGAGTTTCGCTTTGTATGCCCGGTGCGACCATAGCCTATGGGAGCCACTCTATTATGTTAATTTAGTAGATTAAAATTGTTTTACTATGTTGAATGAAATGCTTTACATATATCACATTGTTGTAATTTAATACAATTATTAATTAGTATAAAAAATTTATTTATATTGCATAAACCTCTGCCAGCAAAATACATAATTTATTGTTAAAATCAGGAATTCACAGAGTACCTGGGTACTTGTCCCCGTAACTCATGACCGACTAATCTGTAAAATATAACTTAAAAATACAGATTAATAAATTATATATATAAAAAGCTAATAATTTTATATAAAAAACTAATAATTTTATATAAAAACATTAAATTTTATTTAAAATTCTAATGAATTATATTAAACAGTATGCAAACTAACGAGTTGTTAGTAATGACATTACAAATAGTTAACATTTAATTAAAATTAAAACTAATTATAAACCAAATAAATAATAGTTTTATCAGTAATCATGTTTTATACATGTTTCACAATAATTGTTAATTGTAACTTGATTATTTACAGGTGTACTGTGTAGACGCAATGAGTGAGTGCGAGAAACAGGTACTGTATTTCAAAGTACCACTGTATGAATATAAGGCATAAAAACATAATACCTTTGAGCTAAAATATTAAATACAATAACAAATTAATTGCAAATTAAAATAAATAAAAAATATTCATTAGCATAATTTACGACATAAGCAACAAAAATAACAATTTTGATAATTGTAAAAATGTCACATTATCTAAATTACTTCAAAGTTAATACACAAATAATTATGTGTAAAAAAAGAATAAATAATAATTATTACTATTAATTATTTAAAATAATTATTTAAAAATAAAATAAAAAAATAAAATCACAATTTAATTACCAAAATACCAAATGATGAGATGAACGCCAGAAAATTCATAAACAGTATTGACTTAAACTGTGCGACAGTTACCGACAGATACAGACCATGTAAAGCCGACAAATGTACCATGGTCATCCATATGAGCTGGTAATATCGGATGGTTGGTTTATATGGCACGTGCGTAACCACCGGTGCGCTGCCAGTATTGGCCGACCCGTTGCCCACCACTTCATTAACCATTGAACTTACGGTTTATTTTAACAGTATTAAATTTAGTATAATAACTTTTTTGTGAGTAACTTAAATACAATTATTTGTATAAGATTTATATACGTATATAAATACAGGTATTTGCACATGTAACCTAACTGCACATGGATTTTGCAATGATAGATTGAAATTTTATATTTTAAATGAATAAAAATTTGATATTACCGGAGTTTTGTATTTTTATTACAATGTTATATTATTAATGTGTTAATACTTACAATATAGCAATATAAATACAAAATTCAGGTTTTTTCCATTATCAAATCAGTTGAGAGAGAGAGATAGAGAGAGAATTAATATAACGCTATAAAGTATTTATATTTAGCAAACATTTTTAACCATTGCAAACTGTAACAAATCATTTGATAGTACTAATGCTA